TGAAAGTCCAGTTCTCCAGACCCCCGCCTCCTGAGATTCAAGCTGGGCAATTCTGAGGTGGGCCCAGGAATCTGTGTTTTCATCAAGCAGCCGGGTGAGCCTGGTGCTGGCCCTTGGAAGCTTTGCCTGGTGACCACCACGCCCTCCATGGACAACAGCGCCTCATGAACAGAGGCCAGGCAGGGCGTGTGGACGTTGAGAGCCCTCTGGACCCGAAGAATCCACAATTCTGGGAATAGCAATTGGCATGCAACTTGTTTAGAGCCAGTTTTGAGAGAAAATAGAATTTATTTTTATTGGTGTCTTAATTACTTGAACTCAAGAAAGCAGAAATCTCCATCCAGCCCAGGAGTTTGGAAATAAAATGTTAACATAATAAGTTGCTTCCAAAACATGATTTTTTAGAAGAGAATTTCATAATAAAATGTCTCTCTTGTGCCTTGAATATGAAAGTAATACAAACTGTCTTCATATGACCAAATCATAACAGCTATTTCTGAACCGAAGTTCTACATGGAGGCAAATCTCAAGGTTACATTATTAACTGCAACCCTCTAGAGAAAATGTTCCCCAAAAAGGGAATGGCTAGAAAAGTCACAATTTGAAAATTATTCTGTTACATTTGGTCACTGACTAATATCTACCTCAACAGCTAATGACTGATTTATAATACACCCTATCAGTAATTTCCAGCTCTTTAAGCTTCAGAATCGAGATAATCTCATACAAGATTTTATTTATTTGTATTATAATGGTCCTCCTGTTTGTGCTACATTTCTCACCTATACTGCATAAGAATCTATGTACAGTCTGTAGTTCTTGGGTTTTGTCCACAAGAATATCCACATTTGTAGGTTAGCAGTTGTCGTAGTCTGTTCAGCCTGCTATAACAAAATACCATGGACTAGGGGCTTATAAACAACAGAAGTTTCTTTCTTTCAGCTCTGGGGGCTGAGAAGTCCAAGATCAAGAAGCCAGCACATCTGGTGTCTGCTGAGGGCCCGCTTCCTGGTTCTTAGATAGCTGTCTTGTGTCCCAGTGTGGCGGAAGGAGCAAGAGAGCTCTCTGAGGCCTCTTTCATAAGGACACTAATCCCATTCATGAGGGCTCCACCTTCATGACCTAGTTACCTCCCAAAGGCCCCATCTCCTAATTCCATCACCTTAGGAGTTAGGATTTCAATATAGGAATTTCGGGGAGACACAAACATTCAGTCCTTTGCAGTGGTCAAGTATACCTTTTGATCCATGCTACTAAGATGTGCATGGATATCCATTTCAGTCTTGTTTCTAATGTAGACAAATTGGAATCACCTTAAATATCCATTAAAAATGATTAACTAAATTCAATGGCTTGCCATATGCAGTCATTACAATAAAGAAGACGGGTCCCCGTGTACTGAGGGGGAAGATATTCATGTTATATTCGGAGGGAAAAAACCAAGTACAAAGTAATGTATACAGGTCCTTGATAACTTATGGGACAGGCTTGGGTGAAATGTATGTTGGACTTCAGAATCTTCCACATTTTAGGAATACTATGTAAGACGTTCTTTTCATGTGATGGCAAATTAGATAACTGAGACTCACACTGTCAGTGGGCACAGTGATGAAGCAAACATTTAGAACATTTGCTTGAAGATGTTGGAGAGCCTGAATATGGTGAGGAATTACTGGGCCAGGATCCAGGAGGGCTTGCGCCCAATGTTGGGAGTCACTTTTGCCTTGAGTGCGTTTGCTGGTTTCAGAGGAGAAAGTTGAGAGGCCAAGCCACATTTCTGACAGCCAGTTCTGAGTTAGCTGGTTCAGAGACACATTTGATAAGATTCCTTGTGAGTCCGGCAACAAGATGGAGCAGCAGTTGCCCACAGCGCTCACCAGCTCAGTAACGTGCTTCTGTTGGTTTTTCCTCCTTCCCGTCTCACACCCACTCCCACCCCCAGTTCCAGAAACACTTGTTTCTGGAATTACAGTCCTAGGTAAATTACCTGTATGCGAGCCTTTATATCTGGCTCTGCTTTCAGAGCAATCAAGACTAAGGCAGTAAGAGAGAAAATAGAATATGAGAAGTTCCAACATATGAGAAGTTTGGGGTCCTCAAAAAAGAGGAGAGAATAGGCAAAAACCTGAGATACTGCCAAAACTGATTAAGATTGACATAAAGCCACAGATCCTAGAAGCCCTACAGAGCCCAAGCAGAATAAATAGTCAACAAAAAATAATACTGCAAAGACAATTGTTACTTACAGGCCCAGAGATGATATATTTACTTCAGTCCTGTTATGCACCAAAATCCCCAAACAATGATAAAGGAAAAACATGTATAACTCAGATTAGAGGTCACGAAAACTCAAGTTGGCATCACCACCTCTCCTCGCCGCCAAAATCACCATCTCCAGGAAGCCTTCCTCTTGGCCTGGCTTTAGGCTGCTGTTCACCCCTATCCAAGATGGTAATTTTCACAGAGCTGCTCAAAGGTCAACAGTAAAGTGCCTTAAAAAAATAATTTTAAAAAAAGCAAAATGCAGTGCTGTTGATATTCCTCAAAAGCTCTCTCACAAAGGGGCCCCGCCTTTAATTTGAGCACGGGGGGGTCCAGGGTGTAGGCTCTGCGGTCACACGGGCTCCACCCAAACCCCAGCTCTGCCAGTTTTGACAGCTCTTTTGCAAAGTGCAGTGTCTGTCTTGGAAGGCGACATGAGGACAAACGGGGGTGATGGACTCGAGAACCTGCTCAGAGCCTCCCGGCACAGGGTGCTCAGCTATGTAAGTGTTCCTGTCATTGTTCCAGTGTTGGGAATCACGAGGACAGTGACGCAGCAGGTGCACGTCAGCTCTGCAAGGACTAAAGGCTGTTAAGTCCACAGCCAAATCTCCACTCTTCTGTCAGGCCGAGGGAATGTGGTAAGAGTTCACACCACCTTTTCTTCGCCATAAACTCAATTGCCACGGGAGAACCAGGGATGAGTGTGTTCCTCAATCATCTCATCTTAACTTTTAGTTAAATGTTGTGCAATCAGATCATGAACGTTCGCCGTGATTTCTTTTTTCTATTTTTGTATTTAACAGGGATATATTTCCCTTTGGGGATTAATCATGTTGAAAAACTGAATTTTCCCTTTGAGGAGAACTTTTGTTTGTTTCCTTTTTGAGGAAGATTAGCCCTGAGCTAACATCTGCTGCCAGTCCTCCTCTTTTTCCTGAGGAAGACTGGCCCTGAGCTAACATCCGTGCCCATCTTCCTCTACTTTATATGTGGGATGCCTGCCACAGCATGGCTTGACAAGCGGTGCTGTCTCGGCACCTGGGATCCAAACCCGCGAACCCCAGGCCACCGAAGCGGAACACGTGAGCCGCTGCACCACCGGGCTGGCCCCCTAAGGAGAACTTTTGTTTTAGTAACTTTATATGGGAATTATTCGTAAAAGGTACTGCGTACTGCTTCTTTCTAAATCTGAATATAATTTGTCTTCAGGACTTATCGTTATTAGGAATGTAATGTATCACGCTAGGCTGGAGATGTACTTAATGTTCAAATGAGCTGTCTCTGAATCTCGGTCTGATCCCTCTGTGTTTCCACACCAGGAGATGGTCTCACCTCTGCTTTCACTGTAGCTGCCTGATCTTTTCTGTGCTTCTCAGTGGCACTGACTTGGGTCTTTGTCAGGACATTTCAAGCAGGAAGTGAAGGCTGGTGTAGGGTGGACCAGGTCTCTGTGTGTCTCCCCTGGGGGCTCCATTTCTCCTGTGCTTCTCCCCTCTCAGTCAGGCCCTGCCCATGGCAGCCAGGAGGTTGCTGTCGCTCAAATCCACATCCTGACTTATCCAGTGGTGGATGGGCAATGGCTTCTTTCCCAAAGCTGTCTTTGTGTCTGTTTCTTGGTGGCCCTGACAGCATCACACGGCCAGGCCTGGACCTGTAATGTTACTTAGGCCAGAGACTGTGATGCTTGGAATGGCCATCATAACCCCCAAGCAGCCGGGGGTGGGTTGCTGACAAAGTAGGGGACGGGATGGTCCCCAACTGAAGTCAGGGTGGCTTTACCAGAAGAGGGGTGGCCAGGACAACATGACTTGTTGTAAGTCTGTCTGTAACCCTCTCGTGGTGCCCTGCCCCAGGGAAGGGTGTGCGGCTACACTATTCCAGAAAGACAGCAATCCTGCTGTGACTTCCCACAGCATCCAGAAGTGCAAAAACATGTCTTTTCCCAATGAGTTGCCTCTCCCTGCATTCAGAATCTACCTCAGACAGGCCTCTGGGAATCCTCCCCAGCCTCTCTCCCCTCATCCCTGGGGCCCAAGAACAGATGTTGTCCCCAGGAACAGCTGCCCTGCTCCTGCTTGGGAAGCAGCAGTTGGTCTAGGCTTTGGTACAAGCTGACGTGAGCCTTCGGATCCCACCTGTCATGGACCCAGTCCAATGTGTTCTCCTAAAATCTGCTTCTTCATTCAGTGGAGACAGAAAACCTCATCCACCCACGTCTGCAGTAAGGACAACCTGGGTCCTGGGATGTCTCTCACAGGCGAGCTTGTGCTCCTCATGGATGTAGTCTGATACCGATTCTGGCTGCCTGGAGATCTTTTTTGCTTCCTTGTTCTCATCTGTGTTCTGGGCCAGCACTCATCACCAGAGCTACGTGTGATGCTAGGAATGGTCTTACCCGTGCGGTCCAATCTCGTAGCTATTGGCCACGTGTGGCTCCTGCGACCTAAGAACTGAGTATTTTATTTATTTTACTCTATCCTATTTTTTTTACTTATTTCTAAATAGCCACATGTGATTAGTGTATTGGACAGCACAACAATCTAGAGGCAGGTAAATTTACCAAGTAATAGTCTAAGATAGGTGACTTCTTATTGTATATTTCCTCCCTGTAAGATGATGGATTTTTTTTAAGTGTTCTCTTCTGAGTGAATAGGCCCCTTCCAGTTTTGCCCTCAGGATTATATTCAGCAACAAAGAATGGTATTATTTGATCAAAAACATCACCACACAGAAGAGAATGAACAAAATAAAGCTTTATTTGAACTTCCCTGTAGATCATTCTGAGGCTCTGGTCACTGTCCAAGTTTATATCTAAGCCATTTTACAAACAGCACCATAACTACCGTCCACCAAGTCCAGCACAAATGTGACAGGTCCATGTGCGTGGTTCTCTGCTGCTCAGTGCTGGAACAACAGATGATCACTCTGTATCTGTGTGCTACAGCAGTGGCCACCCTATTGGGCGTCACAGGCGTACTTGCCTATTCACTGAGAGGCCAGCACAGCTACTGTCCGCGGTAGGTGTTCAGTACCCCAGACACCCCTTGAACATCTACACAGCTGCAGGGCACCATATACTGTGGCATAAAGATAAAGACAATCTTTCTCTGTCCTCAAGGACCCAAGGGTCCTCGTATACTTGGCTAATAAATAAGCACTTTGTAACCTAATGATTCACATCATCTTGCTAATGTTCAGAATATTAAGGCACATTGAAAAAAAGAGAGAGAGACTTGATCGAGAGCTCCAAGTCTCAGTGGTTCTTACTACCCCAGCCACAGAATGAAGGACAGGCAGAGTTTACAAGGACCCAGTTCTAGCCGAATTAATGCTCTCACAAGTCACCTGAGTTTTCATTAGCTTCCCTGAACGACTCCACATATTTGGAGCATGTTGAACTCCTACCAAGAGGCATCTACAGTGGGGAGGGGAATCCTTCCGGATCCAAGCTTGAGGAACAGAGCACACAACTGGAGGAGCGTGAGAAGAGGTGGACACATTCATGCCATCACTTTTAGGAGTTAGTTTCATTATACACAAACCAAGGCAAGTAGAAATGTACACCAAAAAAGGATGCTGCAAGCTTGAAAGTTCTCAAGATAGCTGTGTTTAGACAGAGGTACAAACATTTCCAATTCAGACTTCCAAATACATCAAACAATAATTAAAAGTGCACCTTCTGATCCTCTCCACATTTCCCCATGAGCAGAGGCAAAAAAAAAAAAAAAAAAGTGATTTTCATATCTCTAAATGTTGAAAAAAGCATGTACAAGTAAATCCACTCATTACTTGTGTGTGTTTGCACATTATCTTTCCAAAATATAAAAATAAAACCTCTGCCTTTTGTATCTAGAAACTTTTGGGGAAAATGTGGTTATTTCTAATTCTCAGTCATCTGAGGAGGCACACGTTAGCAGGTTTTTCACCTTCCTGTGCTGTCTGCAGAGAACACCAAAACAGCTGACAATGACTTTTCATTCCAGGAAACCAAATTCGGGACAAGTGGAACCAATCCTGACCATGTCTGAGAGTACCTCTTCACGGGTTCTCCAACAGAAAGAAGGAAGAGATTTAGGCACAGACTTCACATTAGGGACAGTGTAGCTTATGTGCTGGGAAAGGACTGCTTCTGGGACATCTAGGAATAAACCAACTTGAGAGCTGTGTTCTAGAAGGACAAGTTAGGGGCTTGGGCACTGGGTCTTGGTCAAAGAGCCCATCAATGAGCAGCAGCCCTCTTGTCTTTGTACTTCTGGTAGGCACTCAGTATTTCTGTGATGACACTGGGGTCCTCCAGGGTGGTGATGTCCCCCAGATCCTGAACTCCGCCCGTGATTATCTTCCTCAGGAGCCTCCGCATGACTTTTCCAGACCGAGTTTTTGGAAGACGTTTCACTACCTGGTAAAGAAGGGGTGCAGCATTAGAGTCTGGGGTGGCGCCCTCACGCCCAGCCAGCGTCAGACGGCATTGTGATAAGAGGGGCTCTGCTCAGGGATGACCCCCTCCCTGGGGAATCAATAATGAATGCCTGATATGTAGGATCCCGCCCCAGAGAATGGTGCAGGCCCATGGTCTCTGGTTTTATCCTCCTATAATCTGGACCGAAAACTGTTATCAAACCGAAAGAATCAATCATGTGTCATGCTGAAGCCCTCCGGAGGCAGCAGTCTACCGCTACCTGGGTCTCCCTCACTGCCACTACATCTGCTCCTCTCCTCAGTTACTGCAGCGAGGGCTCCCAGGCAGCAACCAAACCCAGCAGGCGACTTGGCACCTCGTCGGCACCCCGTGGTGCAGGCCGCAGCTACTTTTATCTTACATAAGAGGTGAGAGCTACTTAAGAGAAAAATGTTGTCTTGCTTAGTGTTTAAAATTTAGCATTTAACCTTTTCAAACAACCACAGCCCATTCAGTGGCAAGGGCAATACATTAAAAGCTGTGTTGGGGGTCTTTAATAGTGACCTAAGGGGAGTTCAGGTTTCCCTGAAACTCTGGTCACCAGGCTGACAGTCTGACCCCCTATGACAACAAGTGAAGCTGGGGCCTCTCCTGCCTCGGAGGACCATCTCCAAACCAAAGAACACTGTGAGGGAAACGTTAACAAAGGAAGGAGTAAAACGCTAGCAGGGCTGAAAAGGTGGCCCAATTCTTCCCTGGAACTGACTCGGACACCGACTCCCTCAGACAGGGGTCTGGCGGTAGCTCCCTCACTGGCACCAGGAAATGTGTTCAGAAAGCACACAGGGGCTCGAGAACTCTAGTCCTTTCCACATATTTCTCTCTATAAAACCCCTAATTGTCTTCCTGTTCCTGTAACTAGCCTCCATATACCAAAGTAAGACAGCACCTCCTCTTGCCCAGCACTATCCCCTAAACAGGTAAGCTGTGTAAACTCTTGCTGCTGTCGCTCTGCCCCACTCCCTGTCTCTCTGAGGATGTAGCAACCTGCCATCCTTGCCCACCACCCAGAAAACCAAACACTAACGTCAGTTTTGCTGTTGATGGAAGGGATCATGGTTACTTGTTCATTGCGGGAATCAGAAAAGGAGACTTAAAACGAGCAGCACAGTTGCACCTACGGCGGAAGCTCCACTCACCAGGATCTCATCAGGCACGGCGTATTTGGCAATCTTGGTGGCCACTGCTGACCGGAGCTCATTCACCACCACGTCAGAGTCACCTGCATCGTCCCTCAACACGATAAAGGCAAATGCAGCTGGAAGGAAAGCAGAGGTTTGGGATGTATCAGACTCCAAACCACGTCCTGAGGCAGAGTGCTGTACACAAATCACCACAAATCCAAAGGACTTTGCCATCACCTGTTGGTGACCTTGTAGCAGCTGGTTTCTTTAGTTGTAGCCCTAAAGATGCATTATCATTTTCATCAAACTGGAAGCAATTCTCACAGCTCCTCTGAACATCCTAGGTGGGTAAGCATGTGCGGTTGAGAGCTTGGCACCACCCCTGTGGTCTTGACAGGCTGTGCATGTGACCTCTCTAACTGTCCCCACACCTGTGAAATAGCCCAGAACGTGGGCTGATGGGAGATTTACTAGAAGCTCCCATGAGACAGTGCATGGGAATACGGCACATGGCATTAACCTCGTGGGCCTGTGTCCAACACGGTAAGCACTAGCCACAGTGGCTATTTAAATTGAAATCGAGTTAAAAGTGCAGTTCCTCAGTTGTATGAGCCATAGCTAGTGGCTACTGTACTGGACAGCACAGATGAAGACCAGCTCCGTCATGGCAGGGAGCTCTGCTAGGCAGAGCTGGCTCACTCATATTTTAGCACAGACACTATGTTTTGTTTGTTGATATCCTACCACGTTCCAGAAAGGATTTACAGTGGCTCCCACAGGTCTCTAAATACAGTGCTTTTCCATCCACCTGGAATAATCTGGTATGTGGTGTGACACAGGGATCTAATTTCATGTTTTCTCCATATGAGAGTCACCTGTCCCAGCACCATTTTGGACAGCCTGTCCCTTTCCCACTGACCTGCAATGTCTCCCCTCTCTCATCATGAAGTTTTCCTCTATGTGCAGCCCTCCCGTTGTTCATTAGCCTCTTTACTCCTGCACTAGCTCCACCCCATCTTAACTTGGCACATATCACCTAACACACTAGGTAGTTTCCTCGCTGACCATGTTTATGGTTGATTGTCTGTCTCTCCCCTCTACTCCCTGACCCTCCAGCATGTCAGCCCTACGGAGCAGGGACTTTTGTCTGTTTCACTCACTGCTGTGTCTCCAGCATCCAGAACTGTGCCTGCAACAGAGTATGTGCTCAACAAGCATCAGCTAAATGCATCAGTACATGAGTGTTTCCTGAATAACCTACAGTCTGTAAAGACCTAGAACCTTTGCCTGAAGGCCCCCTGATTTCCACCTGGCCAACTCCTATTCATCCCTCAAGGCCCAGTTCTGTGTGTTCCATTTAACACATTTTAACACTCTGTGTTCAGCTACCTTTCCTGACTCTGTCCCTGCCTCGGGCTGGGCACTTGCTGTGTGAATGACTGTTGGTCCCCTCATGCTCCACTAGGTTGTGAGATCTTTGAGGGAAAGAGCTGCATTTGTTCACCTTGGGAGTTGAGAGGCCACGCAGTCTAGGTCCACACCACAGGGGCTCAGAGGAAGAGGGCAAAGCCAACACCTGAGCTGGCTGGGAAGGCCAACCAAGAGAGGTCTGCTAGGGTCTAACCGACTTTAATTAAAATGTAAAAACCACCAAAGCAACACATATTGACTACCAAAAATTAAAACACTATAGAAGTATATAAAACAAAAATATGCCTTCCCTCCCTGCCTCTCTCCTTTCATCCTTCCCCTCAGAGGCCGTGCGGTATGATAATCAGGAGAGACTGCTCTGGCTCCAAATCCTGGCTCTGCCACTGCTAGCTGTGTGGCCTTGGGAAAGCCACTTAACCACTCTATGCCCAGTTTTCTATTTGTAAGATGGGGAGCTAACAGTAGCTGCCTCACAGCTGCATGTCAGGATTGAATGGTGACAGCCCCTGCATGGAGCCCACACTGAGCAGGTTCTCGGGGGCTGCTGGCTGCTGTCCCCAGACCCAAATTTAAAATTAATTTCTAGGTATATACAACCAACTTTTAAACCCTAGTGGGATCACAGTGGACATGCCCTGCCGTGTCCCCCCAGCCACCCGTCTCTAGCTGGTGCCCTTCCCTGCAATCACTTGTATCTCTAGTGAGATGAGACTGGAAGTGGGCCTGGACTGTTGAGTGCTGAGAGCAGAGATGGGTCAGGAAAGCCTCAACATGGGAGGAGGAGCCGGCTGAGAGCTAGGATCTGGTGCACAAGGCTGAGCTCAGGGACTGCTGAGACAGGCCGATGGCACAGGTGCAGCACACTGGTCAGATCAAGTGCAAACAGGGAGCGAGGACAAATAAATACACAACAGCCTTTGCAGATGGCTTCAGAGGTCACCAAGAACTGTTGATGGGTTTTTCATGTGTTAAAATGGATAGATGCTCAAATTTGTTAGAAATTAGGAAAATGCATATCATCATACCCATGATATACACATTCTCCCCCACCAGCCTGGCAGACATTAAGACCTGGCAATACCAGAGTCGCTGAGGATGCAGGAAGAGGTGCTGAGAGCTGCTGACGGGAGCGTGAAGCAGCCCTAGGCGACTGAGAGTCACACGTGAGGACCTGTTCCTGCCTCTGGCCCTTTCCGATCCCTAACAGCTCTCCCACACATCCGAGTCTCCTGTTAACAAATGGACAGCCCCATCCTGGGCTCATCCTTCTCATGGCAACTGAAAATGCTTTTTTAAAGCACTTAAATAAATGTTAAATTTTACAATAGATCAATTTAGAGAAAGTGTTTGAATAAATAATGAAACAATGCCACACAAACGTGGCAGGGAGCCAAGTGACATTTGGGACATACTTTGACACAGGATGTCCCTGACAGCAGGAAGGAGAGCGTGCAATTGCACACCACTCGGCGGGGCATTAGAGGTCAGTCTGCCCAGCAGTGCAGCATAGGGTCAGCAAGTGTCCAGATCACACCAGCCAAGCTAGTGTGGCCACCGTGCACCTGGTATTATAACACTCAGGTGATCCTGCCCCACCCGCTTAGGAAGGGCAGGCTTTGGAACAGTGTGTCCCCAATAAAGACCATTCTCACTCATTCTGCCCTTCCCTGGCGCGTCACTGTGCTGTGGGAACCGTGGGTCAAATTCCTCCACAAAGAGTCCCAGAGCGGCAAACGGGCTGCTCCAGGGCACACTCCCATCTGCTGGCAGTGTGACAGCTGCAGAGTTGGCACCAGCTGCTGGGACCGAGCACGCACAAGGAGACACTGAGGGCAGGGCAGGGCATTTCATTATAAGTCCTCTGTAACAGGGCCGCCAGAGGCGCTATGGACAGAGGAGGAAACTCCTTAAGCTCAGCTGGGCGCCAGACAGGTCACGGCTGCTCAGAGATGCGTGTCCTTGAACGACAGCAGAGCTAGGGCATTTCAGAAATCTGGCTCTAGTCTAACATGCGTGCTGTTCAGCCTTCCCACCCAAAATCCCCACTTGAGAGAGAAGAAAACCAACAGCTTGACTCATAAAAAACCCTACCACCTGTCCATCCTCTGGAGTCTGTTCTTTTTACAGAGGCGCCTTGATGGGTCTAAGACCAGGAATTAGAGGAGTTCCTTTTGTGGATGCTCACCTTCTCCTTTGATGTCATGGGGATAGCCAATGACAGCAGTCTCTGGCACTGCAGGGTGGTTAGCCTGTGCACGACAGAACGACAAGGCAAAATATGTGGGAGGTGAGACACCTGACACAGCATGCAAATTATCACTCCAAATCTGAGGCCAACAAGGCCTCATGGAGGTACAGGAGCGAAGGAGAAGGCCTGGCCTGTGCTCACCATCGCATCCTCGATCTCTGCAGTGCCCAGCCGGTGGCCGCTGATGTTGATGACGTCATCTATCCGCCCTGTGATCTGGTAATAGCCGCCCTCGGTTCGGTAAGCACCATCTCCAGTAAAGTAGTAGCCTGCACCACAGCAAGGGATTTCAGGACCAGTACCTCTGAACCAGGACGCAGCGGGGCTCCCATTGTTCCACGAGGGACACAACAGGACCCACGTCCTAACCTCACTCTACAGAAGAAAGCACTGAAGCCTGTGCCCTGTGGCCCTCCTTGCCCCCTCGTGGGGACACTCTCTAGTTGGTGCTGTCTGGTGTGTGCTAGTGACAGGGCAGATGGCTCAGAAACAGCAGAACATGAGGATTCAAGACTGCATCTGTCCAGAGAGAAGAAGATAGACAGGGAGCACACTTGAACTCCTCAAAAAGTGAGTCTCGTTTACAAGCTTGAGACTGAAGATGATTGGTTCCAGCAGGCACACTGTGTAAATGAACTTCACCTCAGTGATACGAAAGCAAACTGGGAAAAAAATCAAAAGTAAACCGGAAGAAAACTCACAGCCATGGGAGTAGTCTTCCCTCTTCTTTCCTAATAGCCCGAGGAGCGCACACCCGACAGGCCAGGTGCTAAGGGCTCTGCGAGCACTCCTGCTGACCCCAGGGAGGTCCCTGAGGTGGGACTGTTCCCACTTCAGAGAACTGGAAAGTCAGAGAGGTAAAGGGGAGGGGGCAGGATTCAAACTTGTCCTCCAAAGAGCCTGTTCTCGTGGCTGCCCTACAGTACCGTCACTGCGACCTTCCAGACGTTTCTCTGAGACCATGATCCCAGCAGTGTGTGAAGAAGGCACGATCTGATCCACTGCAGCCGGCTCACCTGGATAAGCCTTGAAGTAGTTATCCAGGAATCTCTGGTGGTCTCCATAGATGGTCCTGGCCATGCCCGGCCAGGCCTGGGAGAGGCACAGAGCTCCAGAGACATCGCCACCCTCCACGACATTCCCCTGCAGACCCGGGAGACACATGTGTGAGAGAACAGGCGAAATGAGAAACGAAAACTGACGGTCAGCATAGTTCTCCTAACTGCTGGGCCTGAGGCAGAAAAATGATGAGCGTGTCCCAAAAGGCACTGCCCAGAGCTTTCTCCTCTTCAAGGAAGCTGCCCATGAGGGTTTCTGAGGAGGACCCTGGGCTTACCCACAAGGCAGTTTTATCCACTGGGTCTCTGAGAGGAGCCTGCGCAGTGAACGCTGCATGAGGACGCCTGCCTTTCCACCACCTGCCAGACCTGGGCAGGCACGACGTGGGAGAGGGGCAAAGGAGGCCAGGAAGGGGGAAGGGAGCACCAGGCAGCTCAGAAGGGCACACGCAGAGGAGGGAGATGCCTCTGCGAGGCCCTTACTCACCTTCTCATCCATGAGAACCGGGATGATGCCAAAAAAGGGCCTCATTGCCATACCGGGGAGGATTTCTGCCCCTTCTTCTGAGGGCCGCGGCGCTATGCAGATGCCACCTGTTTCTGCAGGGAGGAAGGGGAAGAAACGCCAGATGGGCCGAGGGACCAGTGACACATTTATCCAGGCCATGCCATCAGCAAGCCCATGACGGACACACAGGTCCTCTCCCAGAGAGGGAGGTGGGTGGAACTGCCCCTGTTTGGGGCAAAGAAACAGGCCCTCAGTGATGTGAGGACCTTTGTCTGAGGCAAAACCAGACTCAGGTTCTGGTCCCCTCCACTTTGGAAATAAGAATGGGGCCCAAGGTGGAGGGTTCAGTTCCAGAAGCTGTGGTGCTCCCCAGCGGGGTGGCTGCTGCCTCCCCCTCATCTGAGGTCCCTGCCTGTCGATTTCTTGTGTTGGTGGGAAAGGGCAGAGCCCAGCTATTTGCAGAGGAAGAGGGAAGAAAAGAACTGCTTCTGGGCCAGTGCCCATTCCACATGGCCCAAACACTTTGCTCCAGCTGCCTGAGTGGAAATGCCTCATGAGACTCAGCTGTCAAGGGTCTCTGTCCTGTGCCTTCCTGAATGGATGAGAATTGAGCTACATGGAATTTCTCACTTTCTGGCTTCTTGAAGGAGGAGACCTCAGAGAGCTACAATTACTACATCTGTGGTGGTCTCTTGCCCTAAACATCCAAAGTCAGATACCCAAGAGAAGAGTGGGCAAATCAAAACAAAATGGCACAGAAAAACTCCTTTCCCACTAAAACTTGAATGAGACTCATGGTCTTGTAAACAGCAGGGCCCATGCTCATCCAGTGTGCCTGTGTTCACAAGGCGGCCCTACAAGGAAGATGGGCATTCAGCTCAGCACCAACTAGCCGTCAGTCCTGGGGCAACATGCATTAGTTGCACCATCTTATCCCATCCTCAGCCAAGGCCTATAAGCGAACACCCCCTCTTCATACATGAGGAAGCCAAGGCTCAGCGTGGTCACGACACATCCCAAGTCTTACACCTCTGAGCTTTCTCACTCCAGACACCAGGTTTTCAGCAATCACACAGGCTGAGGGGCAGCTGGATTGCATTCACATAGCCTCACAACTGACCCTCCACACTGGGCAGTTAGCTGCACCTTCTCAGCTCACTAATGTGAGAGCACAGCTGTCACAGGAGGTGCCTGCTGAGCGAGCCTGCACCTGCTCCTCCAGGCACGCCCTGACCCTCCTCCTGAGGGACGCTCTCACCTGTCTGCCACCAGGTGTCCACCAGCGTACATCTGCTGTCCCCCACCACCTTGTGGAGCCACTCCCAGGCCTCGAGGTTGATTGGCTCTCCCACTGAAACCACACATGAAAGAAAAAAGATATTACTAGACCTCAGTAAACCAGAAACCAAAAAAATAGATTTTTAAGGGGAAAACAGCTCTATCATTTTCCTGAAGGACATACAAGAAGACTTGAAAAAGCAGTGAGATCCCTCACGTTAAGGTCATCAAAGAAATACAAATTACTATGAGGTATTTTCATCATTAGAGGCTCAAAAGTCCAAGAGAGGGCAAGAATGTGGGAGAAACAGAGTGTCACATGCACAGTGGGAGTAGAATTTAGTACAGGAATTTTGGGGAGCAATTTGCACGTTTTAATATTTAAAAGTGCATACACCCGATACAACTACTTTGGACAACTGTTTGGGATGGAATCTAAATATATGTTTACCCTATTACTCAAAAATGCCACTCCTGGCATATACCCCACAGAAATAAGAGCATATCTCCACCAAAAGTGGACACGAACAAAGATGTTTACAGCAACCGAAAGCTAAAACTGTCTGTCAGGAGTAGAATGGAGAAACAAATGGTGGTACCTTCATGCAGTGGAATACCACCCAGCATGAAAATGAGCAAACGGCTGCCACACCCAACAGGGATACACCTTAGAGTCACAGCCCCAGCGAAGGTAGCAGGCACAAGAGAAGCACACGCTGCACGAGCCCATGTTGATGAAGTTCAGGAACAAGCCAATGAATCCACGGTGAGAGCAGTCAAACAGTGGTCGTGGTTGGGGGTAACTGCCAGGGAGGGGGCAGAAGGAGCCTTCTGGGGACTGGCAATTTCCATGGCTTGAGCTGGGTGGTAGTTATATACACGTATATACATATACACAAATGTGCTTATGGCCTCTGACTCTGTAGCCTGACTTCTCAGTGTCAAGCCATGATCTGAATGTTTGTGTGCCCCCAAAATTCATATGCTGAAATCCTAACCCTCAAACATGATGGTATTAGGAGGTGGGGCCTCTGGGAGATGATTAGATCATGAGAGTGGAGCCCTCAGGAACGGGATTATTATTCTCCCAAAAGAGACCACAAAGAGCTCTCTCACCCCTTCCACCACATGAGGACACAGCAAGAAGGCACCATCTGTGAGCCAGGAAGAGGGCCCTCCCCAGAACGCGACCATGCTGACGCCTTGACCTGGGACTCCCAGCCTCCACAGCTCTGCGAACTAAGTCCTGTTGTTTATAAGCCACCTAGTCTGTGGCGTTTTGTTACAGCAGCCTGAACAGCTAAGACACTATCCTAATACCCATACTAGACTGGCATTCAGCCAGAATGTAACAATTTAGATACACTTTTGCTAAAGGGTGAAATACTGGTTGCCTCTTGCTCAGGACCACCCACCATGCAGAAGCTAACCAAGGCCGGTCCTGGCAGGGTGGCTGGGTGTTGGGTGTCTCACCCCTGCATTCACACACACCGCAAGGAGGTAAAAACTGCAGCACTGGTTGATAGGCTGGGAAACTGCCAACAGCCCGAATATCCAACCACAGGGATGTGACTGCATGGACCACAGCAATCCCCACAGGAGGGTATGAGCAAGTTTTCGAACAAGCAGGCAGAACCATATGGAAAACTTTGCATACTGTTGAGTTAAAATAACCATTACAGGATAATAGTACAGTGTGAACACGTTCACATTAAAGAAATCGTCTCAGAACCAAGCTGTGTCTTTTGCACAAGAATACAACTGCAAAGAAGACTCCGGAAGGTGCACAAGCAGCAGGGTCCCCAGGAACAGTGCTCACAGAGGATGTCAGCTTTCATTTCCACGTTCCATTTTTTTCGTTTCAAAATAATATATCTGTGTTATTTGTGAAACAGAAAGCTAAAAAGAAATTTTTTTAAGAAATACTACTCTTGGGGTAAAAGTCTTGAGTGAGCTCGATTCTGCTGACTGGGAAGATTAAAAGAAGTCAAAACACCCAAAGCCTGGTGTGCTGTGAGGGCTAATCGAGCCACCTTGGATGGGCCTGAGCTATGGCACCGAAGCAGGAGACCAGCACCACGCTGACTCTGGCCAAGGCAGGAAGCATACTGCTCCACAGTGCTGCTTGGAGCCCCAATTCGAGGAGTCACCAGGTGCTTTCTACCTGCCTGCCAGTACTGTTTATCAATAACTTGGGCCCAGGGAAACCCATGCAGGGCTCTCTTGTTGGTTCTGATTACATGACAAGAGTATGCCCACAAGACCCGCAAAATACAAAGAGCCCAGCCGAACCCCCGTGTCAGCTCCCTGGTGCAGAGGTTTTTGTGCACATGGTGGTGCCTGGTCCAAGACAGCAAGTGTATGTGGCCACAGCCCTTATGGAGGGGGTACCAGAGGAGCCTGTACTGGGCCCCGGGGAACCCCTGGCTGAGCCTGCTTTCAGCTGGGGTGCCCACTCGAATGAGCCACACAGCGCCTCCTTCTCCTGACATGCTCAGAGCATGCGCCTTGTCATTCAGGTCCTTGTGAGCCTTCTTTAGCAACCAAATCCCACGAGTGCATTTGGAAAATCAAACCTCACCCTTTACCCCTGTCCCCTCCTAGCTCCCTAGGTCCACTCAAGTGGCCTTGCAGATGATACCCAGAGGACCTGAGATGGTTTCTGTGGCCCTGGCCACCCCTTCACTTCTCTTGATGCCCCAGCACTGCCTGGCCCAGAGTGCAGGGGCACACTGCGGGGCCCCTGTGCTGTGGAGGGCAAGTCCTCTCCAGCTACACTGGCCCCCAGTCAGGAACACACAGGCCTCACCCTCCAAGCTCCAACATGCCAAGAGAGGCATCTCAGACTCACCACCATCTAGAAAGGAGCCCAACACTCTTTCTGCTCACCCCACCTGGAAAATTCAAAGTACTTGGTCATCCAGACACAAACTGACCTAAACCATGAGGCAGGCCCTGAGGAGGGAGGAGCTGGGAGCATGAAAATGTGTCTCCCAGGGAGGGGCCCTGGCCCGTCCTGGACAGGGAGGCAGCAGTGCCCTCCAGAAGCCAGAGTCTCGTTTGGAGCCCTCAGGGCACTGTCTGGGCCTCCTGCTCCAGGGTCAGCCGCTCAGCTTCACAATGAGCAGTCAACCCTCGCCTGACCTTCTACATTTCCCCTGTGTGTGGTCACAGGGGTGCCGAGGAGACAGATGGCTGCAACTGGGAGCTCGCCACCCAGCAAGTTGGTCAACATGAGGACAGATATCTGTGACTGGAGCACAGGCTCATCCAAGAGCCTGAGGTCCAGAGCAGCCAAGGATATCCATGGATAGACGAGGCACAGAGAAGGTCCTTGAGGGACAGTCAGAATCCTAAGAGGCAGGGAGGGGACAGCAGGGCATTGCAGGCAAGGGGAGCAGAGCCAACCAGGACCCTAAGACCTGTCCCAGCACCACATGCCACATCACCGAGTAATGCGCACACCGTCACCCACCTCCCTTTTCCCTGGACATGTTTGGCAGAAAGACAGCCCAAGTGCTACCTGCCCCACGTGCTTCCCCATGAAAAACCACCAAGAGGAACTGTGTATTCACCCCAGGAGCCTCCCCACCTTGTTTTCCCTGCTGACCACACGTGACAACACGCATAGGGGCAGAAATGAAACACAGAAGGGAAAAGGAGAGAGAACAGGCCTGGGTACCCTCCGCCTCCTGGTACTGTCTGAACTAACCCCACGTCACCCTACCATCATGTGACTTGGTGGCAGCTATCAAAATTACAAACAGAGATAACCTCTGATCTCACAACTCTCTGCTGGAAATGTCTACAGTAAAGGCAGCACACAAGGGCAGAATGACATTCATGACAGTACTCGGCCATGGTGACACCTAGCCACAGGGGAATGCTCAGTGAACTGACTACCATCGCGCAATCCTGGACAGCCGTGAAGGAAAGGGCTTGGCCTTACCTTAAGGAGTTGGTAAGGATTCATAACAGAGACAAAGCGTAGAACTCAGGCACAGAAAATATCTGGACAGTTGTGCCCCAGCCCATTAATGCAGTGGGCCCCTGGGAGGGGCTCACAGGCAGGACCTCTGCTTCTACTCCATGCGCCTGGCATTGTTTGAATCCACCACAGACGCAGCCACATGCATAGCTTCCATGGTTAAAACTATCTGAGGCCTGCATTGCTCTGACACGGCACGACACCCTCTCGCGCAGCGGGACAGGCCGCTCACCTGACCCCAGGGTCCGCAGGGAGGAGCGGTCGTACTTCCGCACCCAGGCATCGCCGTACTTCAGCAGCAGCCGCACCGCCGTCGGGGCGCCGTAGAACTGATTGATTTTTAACCTCTGTACTGTCTCCCAATACCGACCTACAAAAAGGCCCAAATTCCCTATCGGTCTGAGAGCCCAACAGACATTATCTATTTTAAACCTTTTTAGAGAGCAGTCAGCAGATGCTGTGTGCTGAATACATGCAAAAAACTGCATGTGTTCACGAACTGGGGTTCAACTTCCACCACTGAAAGGGGAGGGGGGTGTTCTGGGACAGGACTCTGCAGGGCAGTCACCTCCCAGCACACCCCGACCTGTGGCTGGCCCACTTGGAACCAGCCTTTACCTGGCTCCGGACGGCTGCAGCCACGTGGTGTATCCCACATGATATAGCAGGAAATCAGTTCAAAGGGCTAGTGCCGTGATCTTAAAAATAACTCATGTGGCATTAACATAGAACTTTCATTTAGTCACACTTAAATGGTCTCTAAAGTGGTGACTGGTGCAGCAGTGGCCACCACTGCATGACCCCAGGGAGCAGGGCAACTGCCCAGCACACACCTGATTTCCCATAAACCCCCACAACTCACCACCACCCCTCTACACACGGGAAGCTGAGCTTAGCGTGGCTGAAGTAACGTGTCTAAGATCACACCTAAGACATGACTCTTACTGCCTAGCTATGCCCCCGAACATTCTGCCTAGAGTGCAACCAGTCCTATTGGGAGGCTGGAGAGCAGCAAGGAGAGGTGACAAGCTCCATGGACATAATTGGCAGCACTGTGGCAAGTATGGGCAAGAGCCTTCTGGCAGAGCCACCACCATTTAGCTACATTAAAACAAATACTTGCGGACACTGTGCTGTGTGAGAGGAAGATGCCAAGGTGAGCAAGACATGGCCATGCCCTCGAAATGATCTCAGTTCATGGAGGTGGCTCCAGGCCACATACAACGTGCTCTGACAGAATGGCCCTGAAAGCACAGATGGCAGGGAAAGCCCCCTCCATCTGTGGAGACCTGGGGAGGCTGGCAGATCCAGAAGGGCTGGATCTGGTCAAATGGCCATGGAAGTGAGAGAGACAGTGCTAAGGAGAGGGCCCAAGGCAGGCAGCTATATCAGAGGGATAGGAACGCTGGAGTGGGTGGTCCTGAGACTGCTTCCAGCACCAAATTAGACCCCCTTCTATTGCACACCTGGCTTCAGCCCACCCGACAGGGTGAAAGACCAAGCAGCTATGCCATGGGACCACGAGAACCACAGCCAGGCCAGAGCACAGGCCTCCACTCTACCCTCCTATGAACCTCTCCTCCTTTCTCAAGCTCCCTTCTGGGGACCCTGTTTGGGTCCCCAGTCCTCACCAGCATCAGGGTAAACCGGGGTGCTCTCAAAAAGGACGCTGGTCGCTCCATTGCAGAGGGGCCCGTACACTACGTAGCTGTGTCCTGTGATCCAACCGATGTCAGCCACACAGCCAAAGATGTCGCCTGGCCGGTAATCAAACACAAGCTGCAGAAACAGGAGGAGAGGCCATCAGGAGCCTGTTGCCCCACGTTCCCACATGTCACTAAAAGTGAGCTCTAATTGCGAGACACAGTCGTTCAGCGGCCACTGAGAGTGGGATGAGTAAGTGCACAGTGGTGGCTTCCTGCAGCCTCGGCAGTAAAAAGACAGAGCTACTGCTACACACAACAACAGCTGACTCTCGCAGTCTAGAGTGGATATGGTATGCGCCCCAACCAGACAAAGCCGATCTGTCCAGGAGGCCTCGCTAGTGCTGGCCTGCTGGGGGACTGCCTGTGAGGGGCAGGCCAGGGCCTTTGGGAGCTGGAAATGCCCCATGTCCTGATAGGGGTGGTGGCCACAAGCATACCCACAGGTGAAACTTCATCTAGTCGTATGTTTAAAATATGAGCACCTGTCTGCATTATGACATAGTTTTAAAAAATCTCTTAAAAACTACAAAAAATAAAAGCCAGAAAGACCAAGAAATGCCTCAAACCTCACCAGCTTCTAAGAGCCTAAGAGGAGGGACATTCCTGCATTCTTCCCAAAGGGTCCAACCTGAACCTGACTCCGTCTCTGGATCCAGCTGCCCCATTGCAGGAAACACAGAGGACAGAGGGGCAGACAGCCAGGCAAAGTTTAAGGAAATGGAGGGGATGGGGGGAAGCCTACAGGTTAAAAAAGGCTTAAAAGATCCCCTTTTAACATATTCCAAAAATGTCAGTGGACAAGAGTAAGCTACAGTATCCAAGGATGTACATTTGGGTGACAATTAGGAAAAGGAAAACACAGGGCAGTGTCGCTCTAAAAGCCAGGATGTGGGGGCGGGCCTGTGGTCGGAGGGGCCATGGAGGGGCTTCTGTGAGGCTGGCAACATTCCATTTCCCAAGTGAAGTAGGGTTTTCCTTATAATAATTCATTAAGCACAAATTTGATTTGGGTGGTTTTCTGTATCTGTGTTCTATTTTGCAATAAAAGGATTTTTTTTTAATTCTTTGGGTGAGTGGCCCCAAACTTCTGCTGCTGTACACGAGCGCTGAGATTCTCCAGGAGTTGCCAGACAGCACAGTGGTGGTCTCTAGATGGCCACGTCCCCAAGGGGTAAAGAGGGTTCTTTCAAGGAAGACTGCACTTTCTCTACACTGGTGAGGCAGGATGCCCACATCCCAAAGCCCCACGGCACGCAGGAACAGAAATGCCAAGTCTTCCCGGGGCTGGAGATGTCTCTTCCTGCAGTTCTTGGATGGAGAGCAGGAGCCTGGGGCCAGCCACTCTCCAAAGGGCCCAGCAGGCAGCTGGCGCCCTAACCCCACTGCCCACCTCCAAAATCTGCTCACACGCCATCGTCCCTGAAGAAGCCAACATCCCTAATACCCTCTGTATATGTGCACACACACGTGTACACAGAGACGTGTGCACACGCACATACTCTCATCTACAGAAAACTGAAAGTTTCTATTCCTAATGCTTAAAAAAACCTCAATGTATTGAAGAGAAACTCAAAAGATGATCCCCATCCTAGATGCCCACTTCTTTTGCTCATATAAACAGTGTCCTCAAAACACTCTGAAAACACAAAAAAATTAAGAATCTCAGCACATTTACAGATTTCATAATGTTAATTTTATCATAAGTTGACGGAAACAATTTGATCCATTCTGTGACTTTCTTCATATCTCGTCTCAGTGATTACGTTTTCCAAAGCATTTTACTTACAAGATGTATCAATCTTTGTAACTTCCCCACCAAGAACTGAGGGAGGGTGGGGTTTTCCAGATGAGAACAGTGAGATCTAGAAAAGCTCTGTGACATACTCAAGGTTACCCAGTGGCCAGAGGACAACCGTTTTAATATAGATTTGTGTTCTGCTCAGCCTGGTTCTGTACCACGTTTGTCTTCCTGCCTCACTTTCAACTTCCTTAGTGCTGGGCATGAGTGGCCACCAGTAGGACCGGTGCAGCGTGCATGCCTGCTGTTTCCACCTCCCAGCACCTGCTCCTCATCCACACGCATTCCAAGAGGTTCGCCTCCCATTCCACCCAGTGGCCAATCCACACACTCCACCCCCACCCTCAGCCTCTGACTGGGCCGGAATGGGGCCCTGTACCCTAACCAGGCCAGTGATTTTGCTGGGATTGTCAAGGCTCCTTCCAGCCCCTGGGGCAGCCAAACAGGGGAATCAAACCTGGTGGGGATCCTGGTTGGCACAGAGGAAGGGGGCCAAGGCAGGGAAGATACCACCACCCAAGACAGCGTCTGAGCCCCGCTTGGATGGGCCTGGGCCTTCCTATCACCTGGCCAGTCAGTTCCCTTTACTGCTGTACCAGCTGGAGCTAGTTTTGCCTTCTGCATCAAAGACGGCATGGTCCACAGATGGTATCTCAAAAGGCAATGCCACTCCCCAAGTGGGAAGTGTCCACTACTCCCCAAGGGGAGCAAGGATGCCACATTCAACTGCAATCCCCCCAATCACATTTAAATGAGTTCTGATTTTTAAATGCATTTATTGGAATAAAAAATGCGCCATATCACTTGCTTTATAATCCCTAAAGTGTGGTCCACTATAATACAATTTCCGTGTACTAAATTTGAGCTTCCTTGTAAAAGTAGATCTTTTAAAAGTTTTTTTAATTTTACTTTTATTTTATTTTTTTAAAGATTGGCACCTGAGCTAACAACTGTTGCCTATCTTCTTTTTCCTTTTCCTTTTTTTTCTCCTGCTTTTTCTCCCCAAATCCCCCCAGTACGTAGTTGTATATTTTAGCTGTGGGTCCGTCTAGTTGTGGCATGTGAGAAGCCACCTCAGTGTGGCCGGACAAGTGGTGCCATGTCCACACCCAGGATCTGAACTGGTGAAACCCCAGGCCGCCGAAGTGGAGTGCACAAACTTAACCACTCAGCCACGGGGCAGGCCCCAAAATTTTTTTAATTTTACTTTAAAATGTGGCCCCAGTGAGCAGGACCTGTAGGCCACAATACTTTTAGGGGCCCAAGAAAATGTTTTACTTTGTTTTAAAATCAGAAAAAAAAAAGATCTTTAAGAGGAAGAAAGCCTTTTAACATATAATAGTAATATATTCACCTTTATACCAACACAGTTGTAAAATATAATTTTTGACATTTTTTAATGGAGGAAGGGGCCCAGGAAGGCCAAAGCACCCGGGCCCCCAAGCATCAGAACGTGGCCCTGCCAGTGAGCATGTCAGACCAGGTGAGGGCTTGGTTCCTGCAGGCCTTCGAGCAGACAGACGGCAGAGGCACAGGCGCGAGGGGGCTAAAGGCCAGCATTGAGACTCAGGGTTGGGAGTCAGACTCTTCCAAAGTAGACAGAAATATGGCCCCTCTGCCCACCCAGTCCACTGCACTAGTGCCACAACTCACAGTAGCCCTGCTCATGAACACGCTACAGGAGAAGAGTAGCCCCCATGGGCACTGTGTTATAGCCCTAAATCCAGCCCCACTTGCCCCCTGCCCAGAGCCCTGCCAGTGAGGCATGGCCCCACGTGTCGTCACCCCCCAGCCTCCACAGAGGCCCGTACCCTGTGCGTCAGGGCGGCATACAGCAGGTAGCCCGCCTGGGTGTGGACGAGTCCTTTGGGCATCCCGGTGCTCCCAGAGGTGTACAGCATGAAGAGCATGTCCTCACTGCCCATGCTCTCTGGGGCACACACAGGGTCCTCCTTGGCCATTTCCTGTGAGGGGAAGACACAAAGAGCCCCATCCAGGGCAGTTAGCCTCTCCCCTCCATTCAGCCTCCCTGAGAACAGCTCTCCCTCAGCTGCTGTAGGACTCGGCAGACCAGATTCAGAGTTCACCTTCTCTGGCCTGCCCTAGGTCAATTCCAGATGTGAAAAAGACACAAAATGAAAGGATGGATCTAATCATTTCTGTTACATTAAGTGTTTCAGTATATTTGTGGTCTTTGAGTTCCATCTTCCCAACCAGGATATAAACCCATCAAATACCACAGGGGAACCCTGAGCACCTCTGGGAGATCCAGATTGAGAACCAAAATCTGACAAGACTCAGACCCAGTTAACCCAATAATAACCTCTCCTCCTCAAACTGTACAAAGTCAGGTAAACCCACCTGCTCGAGGGGGATGTCCAGATCCCCCATGTGGACCTTGTTTTCCGTCCTGTGAGCCACCAGGATGCACTGGACAGTTGGGCACTGCTTCACAGCTTCGTCCACTATCTTCTTCAGCTCCACCACTCGTCCTCCCCGGAGTCCTTGGTTGAAGGTGATAACCACCTTACACTTGGCTAACAGAGACAAACACAGACATTTCTGGTAGGTTTCCTCCCCATTGTGACCCTCACAGCCCAGACTAACAGGCACACATCCAGGCCTAAGAGTGTGATCAACAAAGTCCAATCCTGGGTCAAAGAGTCGACAAAACAGTGAGGGGTCTGCCTGCTATGCAATCTCTGTGCTCAGTGCACACACACCAGCCCTTTTCCCAGCTCTGAGGAAGAGCGGGAAGTGACTGGAGGCAAGTTACTTTGAAGCTCAACTCTTCCATACTTCTACCCATTCCCTCCCACCTGCCCTGGGCACTTTCCCAGGTGAGATGCCATCACACTGCCCCCAGCCACAGCCACCCTGGTGGCAGAGCAACACCAAGATGTAGAGACCAAGACAGCTGGGCAGCCAGAGACCAAGCCTCAAGAGGCCCTGTGTGGTCCTCGCCCTGTCCAGGGCCAAGAACCTTCACTGCCCAGAGAACAGGGACCACAGCCCTGGGGGATGCAGGAGCTGCCAGGCCCCACCCTCACCTTCAGGGGAAGGCCCTCCAGGCTCCACACCTGCTCTTCAACGACCCAGTTAGGCTCAGCCAGGCCCAGGGCAATGCCCGGAGACCTGAGCTTCCACCGCTAACCTATGGCGAGGCCAAGAGCAGGGAATCAGGTATAGACACAAACTGAGCCACAGGACCACAGACAAAAGAATGACCCTCCACACCATGCCCCAACCTCGGATGACCTGGAGAGATCAAGGCTGCTGTGGGTTATCAATACAACTGGTCTCTAAGGAAGATCCTGAAACAAATATTCAGTTGTGGTACCGACTGGCAGGACCCTACACACATCCCTCAGACCTTTAATCACTGCACCAAGGGCTTCTTCTGGAGCCACAGGCAGAAGTGCTGGGGGATTACCCCAACCACAGCAGCCCTCAACCAATGACCTCACCCCTTAGGGGGTCATCCTGATGCATGTGGTTCCATCATCTTGCAGCTTCTCCCTGTGGGACTAAGCCCCAGGCACCCACTGTGGAAGCTGGTCTGCTTTGATTCCTCATCCAGCCTCACTCCCTAAGGCCCACGGCGCTTCCCGGGACCACCTCCCAAATGAACTGCCTCCACTTGAACTCTCAACTCAACATCTGCCTCTGGGGAAGCCCTAACCGAGGCACCAATTGCCCTCAACCTTTGAATTTGAAAGTGCTTTCTAGCAACATACATACACCCTTTCTTCTTCCCCAGAGCCCTAGAGATGACGTGGCTTTGAGGATTGTCTAATGTGACCTGAGAATTCTCTAGCACAGGCCTTTGCAGCTGGATGACTCAGGAGGGTCATCAGGGGTCAGAGAGATACTCCAGACTTCCTGGGACACCAAGAGAAGTGTTATCTAGCTCTGCACACCAGGGACCCCCAATTGCACACACTGCTCTTCGGGACTTGGCAATCTGTCGCCCTGAGGAAACAAAGTCAGGTAGGCAGACACTGTCTGAGACGCTCTGGGCCTACAGCCCTGGAGATGGGTTTGGTCCAGGTAAGTTCCCTGTGAGGGAGGAAGGGAGATGATTCAGCAGGGAGAAGTTACTCTTCTCAAGCAGATAAATGACTGAGAAAGCTCAGGAACCCCCAGGAGAAAACAGCAGCCCCAGCCCATCCCAGGTGCTGGAATCATGTGGTGTGGGTTGTAGTTCCTCTGCGGCCTCCCATGGCACATGCCTCATTCCTTGTGCTCATTTGTCTGAGACCTTCCCACTGGAGCAGTTCTCAAGGGCAGGAACCTGTGCACACGCCTGGCCCGAGAGGTGCTTGGGGAGCGCATCTCAGCCTGTGGTTCCCTGAGGCTGGGCGATGCTACAGGGCAAGTGCACAGCATCAGGGCACAGGCAGGATCAGCCTGATGCTTTGGCTGAGAGGATTCCATTTTACCTCCCTGGTTTTTGAGCAGGTATTGGCATCTGTATTAGTCTTCTACTATTCCCATAGCCAATCACCACAAACTCAGTGGCTCAGAACACTCATTTTTAGCTCACAGTTCTGTAGTCCAAGTGAGCTCAGCAGGGTTCTTTCCTCAAAGTCTCAATGCCAAAGTCAAGATGTCAGGGCCTGGGGTCTCCTCTGGAGGCCCTCGGGGAAAATCTGCTGCCAGGCTATTCAGAGTGTGGGTAAAACTCAGTTCCATGTGACTGTAGGACTGAGGTCCCCATTTCCTTGCTGACTGTCAGCCAGGGGCCATTCTCAGCCTCTAGAGCCACCTACGTCCCCTGGTTCATGATCTCCTGTATCTTCAAAGCCAGCAGTGGCAGGTCAAGTCCTTCTCACGCTTTGAATCTCTCTGACCTCCCCTCCTGCCACATGTCTTCTGCCTCCAGCCAGAGATGTTCTCTACTTTCAAAGGCTTATGTGATTAGATTGGGTCCACTTAGATAATCTCCCCATTTTAAGGTCCATCACATCTGCAAAGCCTGTTTGCTATAAGGTAACGTATTCACAGGTTCTGGGGGATTAGAGCATGGACATTCGTGGGGGCCATATTCTGTCCCTACACTGCCTCTCAGAGCCATTCTCCTGACCGACCCCCACCATATCCACCATACCTCCCTCTCTCTCTACTCCTCACACAGCCTAAAGTAAGAGGGAAAATAAAGGGAAGAGAAGTGGTCAGAGCCTGGAGGCCATGCTAGGGTATTGGAACTCTAGAATAGTACATACTAACTGAGGTGGCTGCCCGGCTCCTGGTGAGCCCCTGGTGGCCTTGTTCAGAATCTCACCCCAGTGGCAGATTAAAGATAGGTGCAAATTCTTTGACGGGGTCTCATGGAGAAATAGGGTCTAGATCCCCTCCCCTTGAATCTGGAATGGCCGCTGGCTGGTTTAACCAATACAGTATAGTGAAAATGATGCCATGTGTATTCTGTGCCTGGCCTTTAACACAACCAGCAATTTCCACTTCCTTCCTGTTGGAGCCATGAGCCACCACATAACAAGTCTGACTCAGAGGTTGCCATCCTGTGAGGAAGCCCAAGTTAGCCATGTGGAGAGGCCACATGAAGAGAAAGAGATGCCTGGCCAGCCTCCAATCATTCAACCCAACCCAGCTGATATCCTAGACATCATGGAATGGAAAAAAGCCATTCCCACTCTGCCCATCTGATTCCTACCCCAGAGAATCATGAAATATAACAGCAAAATTCATTAGTTTTATATTATTTATATAACTATATTTTATTATATTTATATGTTATATTTTATTTATTATTATACATTTATTACTGTTTTAAGCACTAAATTTTGGAGTAGTTTGTTACACAGCAGTAGACAACCAAACCACCCCCTCAATGAGCGAAGAGGACACAGACCCTGTTCCAACACAGTCTTGCCCCCAGGAACCTGCCACCTGAACAGGTGGACATGGAGGCTGAAGGGTGTTGGGGAAGAGCCCTCTTAATGGCAAAGTTCTACAGAAAAGTTACAGGAGTGCCCCAACTGAGGCCCTCAGAGCTGACCTGGCCCCTGCCCTCTGATGGCCTGGTTGTTTATGATTCTGAGGTTTGTAGTACTTGGAGCTACCTCAGCATCCAGCTCCTAAATCCCCATATGCTAAATTCCCCAGAGTCAACTGCTGTTGCTTGTTTCAAAGGATCTTCACAGAAACACTTGGTCACTGTGGCCACATCAGGAAGAGAGGACGGGGCAGCCCAGTGTAATGCTATAAAAGCCATGAACTCTGGTGGCAGGATGCCTGCATTCAAATCCTGCCTGTCACTAACAGTGTGGCATGGGGCAAGTCACTTAACATCTCTGTGTCTCAGATTCCTTATCTTTAAAAAATGAGTATAACCTCCCAATGAAGAAAAGTCCAGGATCAGACGGCTTCACTGGTGAGTTCTACCCAACATTTAAAGAGAAATTAACATCAACCCTTCTCAAACTCTTCCCAAAAATTTCAGAGGAGGAAACACTTTCTAACTCATTCTATGAAGCCAGCATTACTCTGATACCAAAGCCAGACAAACACATCACAAGAAAACTACAGACCAATATCCCTTATGAACACTGATACAAAAATCCTCAAGAAAATGCTAACAAACTGTATCCAGCAGCATATTAACAGGATTATACATCATGACCAAGGGGGATTTATTCCCCGAATGCAAAGATGGTTCAACATACAGAAATCAACTAATATAATACACCACATTAATAAAATGATAGACAAAAACCACATCTCAACTGATGCAGAAAAGGCATTTAACAAAACCCAACACCCTTTCATGATAAAACCACTTAATAAACTAGGAAGAGAAGGGAACTTCCTCTGATAAAGATCATCTATGAAAACCCAGAGACAACATCATACTCAATAGTGAAAGACTGAAAGTTCCCCCACTAAGATCAGGAACAAGACAGGGATGCCCACTTTCACTGCTGGTATTCAACATTGTGAAGGAAATTCTAACCAGAGAAATTAAGCGAAAAGAAAGGAAAGAAAGGATGAAAAGGCATCCAAATTAGAAAGGAAGAAGTTATCTCTATGCACATATGATCCTATATGTAGAAAATCCTAAGGAATCCACAAAAACTACTAAAGCTAATTATCAAATTCTACAAATTTGCAGGATACAAGATCCACACACAAAAGTCAGTTGTATTTCTATATACTAGCAACAAACAATCCACCAAAAAACTAAGAAAACAATTCCATTTACAAAAGCTTCACAAAGAGTAAAATACTTAGGAACAAATTTTACCAAGGAGGTGCAAGACTTGTACACTGCAAACTACAAAACATTGCTGAAAACAATTAAAGCAGAGATAAATAAATGAAAAGACATCTGTGTTCATAGATTGGAAGAGTTAATATTGTCAATATGGCAATACTCTCCAAATTGTTTTACAGATTCAATATAATCCCTATCAAAATCCCAACGGCCTTTTTCGCAGAAATGGAAAAGTTGATCCTAAAATTCATATGGAAATGCAAGAGACCCACAATAACCAAAACAATCTCAAAAAAGGAGAACAAAGTTGGAAGACTCACAGTTCCTGATCTCAAAACTTACTAGAAAGCTAAAGTGTCAAAACAGTTTGGTACTGGCACAAGGACAGATGTATACATCAGTATAACAGAATAGAGAACTCAGAAATAAGCCCTCGTATATATAGTCAAATTATTTTGCACAAGGGTGCCAAGACCATTCAACGGGGGAAAGAATAGTCTTTTCAACAAATGGTGCTGATACCACTGGATATCCACAGGCCAAAGAATGAAGATGGACCCTTACCTTACACTACATACAAAAATTAACTCGTGGATCAAGGACCTAAACGTGCAAGCTAAAACTGTAAAACTCTTAGAAGAAAACATAGAGGCAAATCTTTATGATGTTGGGTTTGGCAACGGATTCTTAAAGAATACACCAAAAGCACAAGCAGCAAAAGAAAAAAATCAATCAATTGCACTTCATCACAATTAAAAACTTTTGTGCATCAAAGGACACTATCAAGAGAATGAAAAGACAACCTATAGAATGGGAGAGAATAATCGTAAATCATATACCTGATAAATGTCTAGCAGCCAGAATATATAGAGAACTTACAACTCAACAACAAAAAGACAAACAACCAATTAAAAATTGGGCAAAGAGCTTGAGTAGACATTTCTCCAAAGAAGACATGCAAATGGACAATAAGCACATGAAAAGATGCTCAATGACATTAGTCATTATGAAAATGCATATCAAAACCACAATGAGATTCATACCCACTAGGATGGCTATAGTTTTCTTCTTTTTTTTTTAAAGAAAACAAATGTTGATGAGGATTCAGAGAAACTGGAACCCTCATACATTGCTCGTGGGAATGTAAAACAGAGGAGCTCCTTTGGAAAACAGTTTTGCAATTCCTCAGGAAGTTAAACACAGAATTACCATATATGCCAACAATTCCTCTCCTAGGTACACACCCAACACATTGAAAGCAGGTGTTCTTCCACACGAACATTCATAGCAGTTCTATTCACACGAGCCAAAAAGTGGAAACAAGTCAAATGTCCATCAACAGATGAATGGATAAACAAAATGTGGTATATCCACACAGTGAAATATTATTGAGCTATAAAAAGAAAAGAAGTACTGATATATGCTATAACATGACTGACCCTTGAAAGCACTATGCTTAGTAAAAGAAGCTGAACACAAAAGGCCACATATTGTATGAGTTCATTCATATGAAACACCCAGAATAGGTAAACCATAGAGACAGAAAGCAGGTTAGTGGTTGCCAGAGGCTAGGTGGAGGGGGAAATGGGGAACACCTGCTTAATGGGTATGAGATGTCTGTTTAGTGTAATGAAAAAGTTCTGGAATATACAGTGATGATGGTTGCACAACATTGTGAATGTATTTAATGCCACTGAAGTATACACTTAAAAATGGTTACAATGGTAATAAAGGGGGGGGGGGATATTGAGAACACTATCTCATACAACACTTACGAGGACTAAGTTAGTTAAATGAGATGACCTTTGCAAAGTGCTTAGAACAGTGCCTGGCACATAGTAGGTGCTACAGAGTTGACAGAGAGAAAGAGAAAGAGGAATGGCAACACCAACCCTTGAAAGTGGAGGGAGAAACACGGCGAAGGAGTGGAAAAGGTTTCCCAGCCTTGTCTAAAATCCCATGGTCAGCAGGGGTCTGAGAACTCCACCCTGTAGCTCTGTTCACTACCAAAAGGCAAGTCTTCTATGAGACACAAAGAACTCTCAGTGGCCCCCTTGGCACCCTCCTTGGGGAGCCAGCTCAGGGACTCTTCTTAGAATCTCACTGGAGCAGGGTTCAGACTGCATGGACATGGGGCACCACTGAAACACTGGGCCCTCTGACACCTGAAAAAGGAAGGATATCGTTCTGCACACTGTCCAGGAGACGCTGACCCACCTATGGACAGAAAGTCTTAAATACATCACAGGCCCCCACACCTGACTCCAGGCCTCCAGAGATGGTCCCTATCATCCTTCACGAGGGAAGCCTTCCAGCTGTTGACCCATGCAACCTTCCCTGTACATCCCCAGGCCCACCTCACCCTACATGTTTCTTCCCTCCTCCCCTGCAGCCATACCAGCCTCCTGCAGGCCCTCACACTCACTGTGCTCCTCCCACCGCTCAGCGGGCACCTATGCTGTTCCCTCCATAGAATCTTCCCTCCCTTCTTCATCTGGTCAAATCCCACACATACACTCAGATCTCAGCTCACAGAACATATGCTCATTCAGCCATGTGCCGGTCCCTGGTAGTGTCTGTCATTTGTCTGTGTGACTTTCATTAATGTCTGTCTCCACTCTCACTCCCTGATGGCCACACCCCAAGGAACACAGAGCAGGGGATTCTGGGTTCCTCCCTCCCTCACCCTGCCCACAAGCTCACCATCATTGATTCTCCCAGCCAAGGACTCCGCACTGAAGCCAGCAAAGACAACCGTGTGGACGGCTCCGATCCTGGCACAGGCCAGCATTGCGGCCACAGCCACTGGAGACACAGGCATATAAATGGCCACACGGTCCCCTCGACAGACCCCATGCCTCTTCAGTGTGTTGGCCAGGCGGCATGTGGTCTCCAGCAGTTCCCTGCGGCACAGAGAAGAGAAGGCTATCAGAGATGGGGGAGGGCCAAAACGCAGACTAACTGGGGGCAGAACCATTCTGCAAACTGCAAGTTCTGTACACCTAACCACTGCCTGGAGGGTTGCGGGCAATCAAATACTCATTGCATGGGAAGTTCTTTTCCAGAAACAGTGTTTTAAACTTTGTAGACTGGTACTGAGAGATTCCCTCCACGCTGCTGAGGTAAAATGGTGGTCCTTGCATCATCTAGAGCAGGGCTTCCCAGAGACCACAGCGCCCAAAGCCTAGATGGTCATATCCTGAGACTTCTGAATACATTCGCCTCCGAAAGACCTCAGAAGTAAGATATTTAGTGGGGGAGGTAAGGCCCCAATTTTCTGAATCAGCACCTGCAGTGGCACCAAGCCAGCTCCTGCCAGGCAGGGCCCCGGACTCAGGCGACAGACCCAACGCTGCAAAGCCACAGCGGGTCGGCACAGGGGGCGGCGCAGGATGGCCTCCCCGTGCAGCGCCGGGGCAAGGCTGTCGGGAGCGAGAACACCCCGCCTTTCTCCGTGCTGGGCGCTCGGAGAACCCGGGCCTGGCAGGCCCAGCAGACACCCCGGCCTGCGCCTCCCACGCCCCCGCCACCCCTTACTCCTCCCCGGGACGTCGCGAGGTTCCGCCAGCGGTGAGAACCCACAGCTCCCTGAGCAAGCTGATTGGCTTAGAGGTTGGCACGGGACCCAACCCGGCCCAACCAGAGCCCACGACAGGCCCCTCCCGAAAGCCGGAAGTCCGCGGCGGCCGCTGCCGCGTGGCCGGAAGCGGGGAAGCGGCCGGGAGCCACGCTCGCCCCTGGCTCTGACGAACGTGGACCCGGCTAATAACCGTTTTCCCATTTTTGCTCTACAGTTTGATTTAAATTTATTATTTAGTAAAAAGAAGTAGCAAGGAAGGACAGAATAGGGGAAACCAAGGCCGCGCCCGCCCTCCACGCGCTCCAGCCCCGGCCCCGGCCCCGGGACGCCCGCCGCCCGTCGGCTCCTTTCCCGGGGTGCGAGGGCGAAGGCCCGGCCGGGAGGGCTCCCCGGAGGCAGAGCTCGACGAGAGGCCGCCCGGAAGCCGCCGCGGAAGGGAATGAACGGGCCGCCGCAGGCCGCGGCCTCGCAGGCAGGGGCCTCGGCGGGCGTCGTCACTGCCCAGAGCCACCGTGCGTGGAGACCAGCCGAGAGCCAGTGCAGCCTGCGCGCCGGCCGCCGGGACTCCTGCCAGGCTGGCTCCAGCGCGCCTCTGCTGCTGCGTTCTCCTTGTCTCCTTAAAGCTTTCAGAAGCAGGACAAAGGCGCTATTCAGTGGCACCCCACCCACCCCTCGCCTAAGTTTATGATGAAAGGAAGAGCAGCCCCCCTCGACAGCCCTCAGCACCAAACTCCGCAGAGTCCTGGGTCCAGAAACACTCCCCCTACTGCTGAGGAGGCGGCTGGAATGGCCTCTGACCGCTGAGGAGGCAGCTGTGGTCAATAATGCGGAAGAGTAACTCGGGTCCAGTGTGGGCGCCATTTCTCAGCGCTAAGGACCTGTGCGTCCGGGCAGCGCTGTAGGAGACAGAGGCTTGTGTGTGTGTCCCATCACTGGTGGTGAAATTCAGCCCTTATTCTGCAGGCCAAAGGCAGCAGTTTGGAGTGAAAACAAACGTGAACTGTCCAGACAGAGGCCTGGTTGGCTTTGTGTAGTAGCCGCGTAGGCGTGGAAGCTTACCCGTCTCAGCTGCCATGAGATCACCTGAGAAACAGAAGGCGCCGTCACCTTGGGTAACTGTCCTAAGTATTGATGAGAAGCGTCACCCACCGAGGACTCTCCCAAACATTCAGTAGGTATTATGTTTCCCATCAGATGTCTTTATTTGGAATCATTTTCTAAAATTCACTTTGGTGAATTCCTAAGATGTTAAAAATTCCGTTTTAGGCACCATGGGGTGAGTGGGCATAGACAAAGGAAATGAGAGGGAGTGTCCTCCAGGAGCACAGCTCGGACTGGGGAGATGAAGGCACATGCGAGGGAGTGAAGGCGCAGCTTTCTGGAAAGGGTGGCTATGAGGAAGGGTAACAAGGCAGCAAAAGGGAAAGGAGTGAGTTCTGCTTACACAATCAGAAGTCACCGGAATGTCAGAGCTGGGTAGTGTACCTACAGCCCTGGGGAAGGGTCTGGAGACCAAGCAAAGGTAGTCCATGTGTTGTTCCCTGGAGGACTGAGGGGCCTCGACATGTACACCCGAGCTGGAACTGGGTGTCTGGTGGGGCCCACACTCTTGCTGCTGCATCCATGGGAGAAATTTCTGATAAAGAATTTGATCCGGGTAAATCTCTGAGCTCACTCCGCTTCCTCTGCACTCTGCCAAGGCCATAAACCTCAAGGTCGAAGGGCTCCCTGAAGGTCAGACAGGGCAGGAGGCTACACTGTCTGCCAGAATGCTGCACACAGCAGTCCAGCCTCTGCTTAAACATCACATTGCTGGAGGCCACCACCTCACAGGGCTGCCTTGTCTTTGTCACTTTAGTAGAGAAACAGTCTTCCTAACATTGGACCAAGATTTGTAGCTGTTCAAATTCCACCCCTTGATCCTAGCTCTGCCCTTTAAAGCTGCCCAGTATAAATCTCATTTGTCATTTGACAACAGCTCTTCAAATTCCTCGGTACCCGCCCCCTCCCCCCACTGCCCCACAAGCCCTTTCCACTCCCAGGTTCTGGTCCAGCCCTCGGGGGCCCCACTCTAGACACCTGCAGGTTACCAAATGGTCCCCACATTCCCATGGTGTCTGTGCAAAGCAGAATATGGGCACACCCAGACTCTTGACTTCAACTCTATATTTAACCCTGTAGATTAAGAGGACGTTAATTTTTTAATACCTGATACAGGTGGCTCAAATTCAACATGAGGTCACCAACCCCACCTTCATCCCCCAAAACACAGAACAGCTGCTCTTTAACCAGGGCTTTCCCATATTATGATCAGGGAATTATTTTTTTAAAGCAGCCTTTCCATTTGTCCCTATTTAAGTCTATCTCAGTTTCTCCTCGTCTTTCCAGCTAACCCATTATTTGTTAAACTTGGATTTTTCATTTTAAACTTTCGCTTTTCATTAGCAATTGCCTCCAGACTTCTACCAATGGAAAAAATAGTTAGCAAACCTAGGTCTTCAAATCATTGAAAAATAAATGTTATTCCAAGTACTCAAAAACTGTTCGAAAGCATGTTCTTTGGTGACTTCTCAAAGACTTCCACAAACTAAAATGCTGCTGTTTCTGTATCAAAAAGATAATGCAGCTATTCAGTGACCAGTGCTTTGGGCTGTCGCTACAGGAAACACTGGCTTCCTCCTTGCCTGTGGGATCTTTCCAAGGGACAGTGACGTGCAGCTTTCTGAGAAATGATCTCACTAAGATGAGTTAAAGTTATGTTTTCAAGTGCAAAGAGAAATATAACATCTGTTCAGGCACTGAGCAAGATATCTAAGTTTGCAATATAGACTCCTCAGGGCCAACCTTTCAGTGTAGACATATGCAAATAATGTGCACAAATATATAAATTTGGCCTTGTATTCATGCTTCTTAACACCAGTAAAATGCTGACTGGCCTTGGCGGAAAGAAGGAGACCTTCTCTAGCCAGCTCTTATTAAACATAATTGGGAATAACATTTATCCAATGCTAAAGACATAATCTGACCACAAGTATTTGTAACCAACATGACACCTGCCCAGACTCAGATGGTATAGAGGCCCCCTGGCCCAGCTCAGTCCAAAACCGGACATAGCTGGAAACAGAGTTCAGAAGAAAAAAGAGGAAGAAATACATTCATATTTATTTATTTATCTATCTTCCAATCAGAGCTGTTTTTCACAGTTACTATTTGAAAGTCTCTTTCTCTCCTAGCTGTTTCCCAGTGACAGCCCGGGGAAATAAGATAAGCCACGTGTGTGTGTTGTTGTATTTAAGAAATAAACAAATCGGGAGTGTGTGATTTGCTCACTTCCTACAGTAACTCTAGCTCTTAGTGTTCATTAAATAAACACTAGCTGACAGACTGACCTTCTTCACTGGCCATCTGCCCCACTGACCACAAGCTCTACTTGGGCAGGAATTGGGGGCTTTACTGCCTTCCTCCCAGTGCCTGGTGCAGAGCCCAGCTCAGAGAAGGTGCTCCATAAATATCTGTTGAATGAATGGGAACAGTAGGGAAGTGAAACGAGAAGAGCCCTGGCAGGCACAAGGTGTCCACTCTGCAGATGCCTTACATCTTCCTCGAGAGAGAGAGAGGGCGAAGCTGCCGTCACCTCAGCATCACACTGGCAGGAAAATGTCCTGACCCTTTGAGAGGCAAATGGAAAGGACCATCCCCACTGATAAACCAACCCCTGGCTACTTTTCTATTCATTTTCTTCTGCCAATAAGGGAAGTAGAGCCAGGTAATCGTGTTGATATGTGAATGGAAGGCCAGTGACAGATACAAAGCATTTCAGAGTGACTGCTCCCCTCCAAGCCTCGGTGCTGACAGGAGGGTCCACTCCATGGTCCAGATGCAGAATGTGAAGGGACACCCATCTGTCCTCAGTACACTGTCTCTAGAATTTGATAGTCTCTTCAGCAAACCATTTCTGGAAGTCGGAGGTAGTGAGAGAAGAAAGGATCAGCTTTAGGAAAGCAGAACATAACAGGAGGGACTCTTTCTCCCACAGGGAGAGTGTGGAGGGCTGGGCAGGGCACATGGATGGCTCATGAATCCTGTCTCAGAACCAGGCCTAGGGACAAACTCCTGCCCTCAGGCAGCCTTCTCTGACCCACATGTTACTGCACCCACCAGATCCGATTTAATGGTGATGAGATTTACTCGCTCTGGTACTTGTTGCCACTGAGAGAACAGAAGCCCAGGGAATCAGCTGAGTGGGCGCATAAGCCAAGTATGAAATTCCTCACACGTCATTATTTGATTTCGTGACCATGATCTTTAGCAAAAAGAAGCTGC